TTGCAAGAAATTTTGGTTAATTGTTTATATCTAATGACATGAGCCCCCTTTGGATTTTTATAAATTTTAGATTTTACGTTTCCGAGTTATGGGGTTTTATTCATAAAAAAAAGGGGGGATTTTCCAGTTTTCGGACTATAACTCAAAAATGCTTTCAGCAGTTCTCATGAAACTTTGATGAATTGTTGATATCTATTGATGTAAGCTCCCTTTAGAATTTAATAAATTTTAGATTTTACATTTCCGAATTATGGGGTTTATTCATTAAAAAAGGGGGGATTTTCCAGTTTTCAGACAAAAACTCAAAAATGCTTTCAGCAATTCGTATGAAACTTTGGTGAATTGTTTATATCTATTGATGTAAGCTCCCTTTAGAATTTTATAATTTTTATTTGTTTATAGTCTGACAACAGATTTACTAAGTATTGCGCAACAGCACAGTGTATTGCACAACAGCAAGAAATCTTTAATTGAATATAAATTCAATTCATATAACCAACTTCAAGTTCTTTGACTACATTTATTCAGAAACCTATAATAGATGTATGTCAAATATTTAATTACAATCCAAATTCAGACCTGTATCAAGCTTGAATATTGTGTCCATTTTTACCCCAACTGTTCAGGGTTAGACCTCTTCGGGCGTATCCAGCTGCACTCAGCGAAGCAGTTTATTGATATATATTATATAAAATATATCCCAAATTATAATAAGAATAGATATATTTCTAATATAAGGTTAAACAATTTCAGTGATTTTTTTGTCTGAGGTTACCTCATTAAAAAGATAATTATATAACTATTGTATGTAACCATGAAACCTATTTAGTTTTTCTTTAGGAATTTAGGAAAATTAAGTTTAAAAAAAAAAAATAACACATGCCAAACAAGAAGCACCTTGATAAGGTTTTATTACCCTCAGTAAAGGTGTGGTTTTTAGTTAAAAGAAAATCTTTTTTTTTACAAAACTCTAAAACTTTAAAATTAATATAATTAAATTATTATATAAGATAATTTAATTTAACTATCTCTATTTGATAAATCTGAGAATCATGTAAGGATGTAAAAATATGTTTTTATATATATCTTTATTTTATAAAAAAGAAATTAATTTTAACAGCTAAATAAAAAATGTATAGGTTTTTTGGTCAAGTATGGTTCAGACTGGTCGAGTATTGTTCAGACCTTTGGTCGAGTATGGTTTAGACTGAAAAAATTGGTCGAGTACAGGTCGAGAATGGGTTAAGACTGTTTCAGACTGGTCGAGTAATAGTTCAGACTATTTTCAATGGCAAAGATAAGGGTCAAGTACAAATCAGTACGGTCGAGTATGGTTAAGACTGGGGTTGAGTAATGTCGAGTAAAATTCAGACCAATTCAGACTGGTCGAGTAAAAATCAGTACAGTCGAGTACAGATATAGGCCATTTCAGACTTTTACTGGTTTGTAGTGATGGTAAATACACAGGTAATTCTATAGGTAATAAAATGTAGACCAATTTAAAAATGGGGCCCAATATCCAAAATAGTAATACAAGGTTAGAACCCCCAAAAATTAAAGTCTTAAAATTAATTCCATTGAAATTGGTTAAAAGATTTAGATATAAGAAGATGTGGTATGAGTGCCAATGAGACAACCCTCTATCCAAGTCAAAATTTATAAAAGTAAACCATTATAGGTCAAAGTACTGTCTTCAACACGGAGCCTTGGCTCACACCGAACAGCAAGCTATAAAGGCCCCCAAAAATTACTAGTTGTATTTATATTCAATTGAAGATTTCTTGCTATTGCTCAATACTGTGCTATTGCGCAATACTGTGCTGTTGCACAATACATAGTTAATCTGTTATATATAATAATTTACACACCCTGTTTGGTGTGTATCTCCTGCCATATCAGTATTTGTTATATATAAATCAGAAATAATCAATGTAAAAATGGAAATTTTTTTTTGGGGAAAAAATAAAAAAATTATGACAAAAAAAATCCCCCCCCCCCAAAAAAAATCTTGAAGAAAAAAAAATATGAACCCCTCAAAATAAATTTTGAAAAAAAAATCCCCCCAAAACTTTTTGAACCCCCCCCCCCCCCCCCCAATTTTTTTTTTGAAATTTTGAGGATTATTTCCTTTCAGGAAAAACGTACAATTTCAGAGAGTTCCATTAAACTTTAACACAAGTTATTGTCTGGAAACTAGGAAAATGCTTGTTTTTGGCCCCTTTATTGCCTCCTAATTTCTAAACGTTTGGGGCAATTACCCCCAAACTCGATCCTAGCCTTCCCTTTGTGGTATGGAACCTTGTAGTATAATTTCAAAGAGATCCATACACTTAAACACAAGTTATTGTCTGGAAACTAGAAAAATGCTTGTTTTTGGCCCCTAATTCCTGAACGTTTTACCCGCAAACTCAATCCCAGCCTTCCCTTTGTGATATGGAACCTTGTGGTACAATTTCAGAGAGTTCCATACACACACACACACACACAAGTTATTGTCTGGAAACTACAGAAATGCTTGTTTTTGGCCCCTAATTCCTAAACTGTTGGTACCATAACCCCCAAAATCAATCCCAACCTTCCTTTTGTGGTATTGAACCTTCTGGTAAAATTTCAAAGAGATCAATTCACTTAAACTAAAGTTATTGTCTGGAAACCAAATGTGTCTTCGGACGATGACGACGACATGATAGCATTATATGAACGCAAATTTTTTGTGGTCGTATAAAAATCACACAAATGTAAAAAAAATTTGAGCAAATGTAATGTCCTTTAATCCCCAAATCCGTGCAAATTTACTACACCCATTAATTAGCTCAATTTGATAATTATTACCTGGATCCGTTTAATACTTTAGACAACTTTTAATTCTATTGTCCCTTTACCTGTAGACTAATGTCACCTTGCAGACTGTTTAAGAGACCACTGAAATGAGAATCACTAGGTAGTAGGAATTGTCCTGTAGTTTTCTTGCTACTAGATGACCTAGAGTTGGCAAGATTCTGACCTACAGTGTTGGCAGGTGACTTTTTCATCACAGCAATATTCATATTACTGGTAACAAACACAATAGGTTCTGCAGCAGGCTGGGCAATAGCAAGGGCAGCATCTGCTATAGAATCTACCAATGTTAAAATCTTTTTACCGGATTTCTTTACCTGAAAAAATTAAATAGGAAGCAATTTAAATACCTGTGTCTGCCCTCAAGTCTGGAATCTTGTCAGTGGTCTGTGTCTACCCGCAAGTCAGGAATCTTGTTGGTGGTCTTTGTCTGCCCCAAAGTAGGGAATCTCGTCAGTGGTGTGTGTCTGCCCCCCAAGTCGGGAATTTCTTATCAGTGGTTGTCTGTTTTTATATTTTTGTTGGTGAGGATTCTGTAATCAAGCTGAAGGAATTGCCAGACAAGTTAATTAACACCAGCCATGTAACTTGTAAATCTCAGGTCATGATTCACCCCAAATGGTGACTGGGGAATAGAAATATGGCCATCATTGGTCTCCCTCTGACCGGCAGTTAAACCCTTTTAAAACGCCAAAGTGGGGCGTCCGTTTGGCTGTGCAGGATGTATAAGTTTGCAGCCATGTCTGGTCAGAATAGGGACGTTAAATCTGATGCCTTGTGTAAAGAGAGTGCCAGTCTTTGCACCTTAAGAAGCCTTGCAACAACTCTTTGAGGGGTCCGTAGGTGGCCTGTTCCAAGGCTAAATTTCTGTCCCTATCAAATATACCCTCATTTTCCTGTGGCAGTCCAAATTTCCCAACCCTTCATCCTAGACAGCCTCTATTACAGGACCTACCTTTTGTATTTTTTGTTAATTTGTTTTCGTCCTGAACATGCATGAAATATTTGCCACTGAACATTAAGCAACCAACAATTAATCAATCTAGCAATAATTGGCCTTTCAGATACATTTTTTGTTTGTTTCTAGCTGTGCATGGATTTTGTCAGCATTATTTGATATAAGTTTGAGACACTTTCTATTTTAGGCAAAGGCATACATTTGAAATTCTATAAACAGTGGATGTCTCATATTACAATGATAAATTCTTTATTAACATCATTTGGTAATAGTTTGTTTTTTAGTATCTGGATAAAAAACATCTTGATGGAACTAATGTTGATGCCTTGTTTAATGGAGTGTCTGTTTTATCTACTTACACTTGTGTGATGATCTCCATGTTGTTTCAGAATCATATTTGTACTGGTCCTGTAGCTAGAACATTTTAATATGCATTCCTTAGTTTTACCAGGAAAATTATTGATGCACAGAGTTTTGGTCAAAAAAATACTTCATGTCAAAAAGCCAGATTTTGATTGGTTAAAAATATGAAGGAGATATTTACTGGATCCCATGGCAAATACTCTGTTATCCTTCATGGAGACGCTTACTCCAGTATGCCCTTGATTAAATAAGGATGTTTTTTTTATGTACAAGACGTCATAGTTTATTGCTTTGAATTTGAAATTTAAAAGACAGTAAGAACAGAACATTCAGTATACCGTAATAAATTAAATGATACATATCTGAGAGGGTGATATAGCAGATTGTTACCCCCGGAAAAGAGGGCTTTGCCTCAGTTGACAATGTTTTCTCGGGTAACAATCTGCTTTATCACCCTCTCAGCTATGTGTTATGTATATATTGTTTGAGAACATTTGCTTCCATCAGTGGACATACAGTATACAATGTGTATTCCTCTTTCATAAATCAAATTAGTCAGACTGTTGCAAATAAGACTAACCAATTCCTTTCTTCCCAACACTTACACTTTTGGGGAAACAGTATTGAAGTGGGTGTGATAAAATTCAGAAAATTTAGTTAACTTTTTATATGAAACGTTTTTTTTTTTTAGTTGCATAGAAAATCATGGGTAGGGCAATATCAGCAAACAAATAGGCCTTGTAATGGTAGCTATTAAGTTTGGCCGACAATACAAGTTAAAATCTTAGTAATTTTATCAGTGGTATATTATGTTGCAAAGGTCAGTTATGTTCGACCAGATTTTACCTTTGACACCTTTGTAGTATTAACATGAGTATGATTTGTAGTGATCTCCATTTCTTCTGTACCTTTATTTGTATTTGCATCCAACATGAATGACAACCCATCCAATAATAGGCTGAAATCATACACCAATATAAAGTAAACTGGACTTTCATCAACATTTATGTGTACATTATATATAAAGTAAACTGGACTTTCATCAACATTTATGTGTACATTATTTGGGTTTCATCATCACAAAACAATGAGAAACACATGAAAATTTAACTATTCAAACTAGAGCTGTCCACATAGCTGGACTAATACCCTGTACATGCATTTTAGTTGCTGCTGTGAAATTCAGTAATGAGACAATAACATTTTGAGTTCTTTGGCTTCCAGCCATTCATTTTATATAAGCATTGCCTCTATGTTAGGTTGACACATGGTTACTGACATCTCAATCTGACAGAATTATACTAACTCAGGAATTTTTGTCAATCTAAGTAGAAAGATACAAAAGTTATGCACTGAAAACAAATTAGACAATGTTTTACTATCATAGTGGTGAAAGGTCACTTTAATAGGGGTCAAATGTTAAAGTCAAGGTCAGAGTGACCTGGCTTTGGTATAAGACACCCAACCCCCAGCCCATGATGCATCTGCATACCAAGTTAAATCAACTTAAGTTCAATAGTATTAACGTCATGAGCTGGACACAAAACTGGACAGAAACAGATAAGCAAGTGATTCCTAAATACCCCTCCCTCCCACAAGCTTTGTAGGGATATAATAATAATAAAAATACATGAACTTAATCTTTTTCATGATTTCTGAAGCTGTCATACTTTTAATTATGAAAAAATGTAACAGAAGAAACATCTCAATAAATAAAATTAAACATTTTAATTTTTGTTAATAATATCCTTCACAACAGATATAGATATTACACTATTTATAATCATGCTGTTGAGTTGGTTGCTGAAGATTAACAGCATTGTATGCAGTCATTACAATTTTCAATTAAGTAGTAATTAAAGTATAGAATACTAAATTTTATCTAATGGATCTATTTGGCAAATCGCTTCCTTTAATAAGATGTTAACAGTAAGGATGATGTAGTCAAAATCAATCTTCCAAACTTGATTTGTAACTCTTTAAAATATGAAAACATCCATCATATCAAATCAAACAATAGAAGCATTACAGCAATAAATTAGAATATAATATCTATTTTGTTGACCTATTATTGCTCATCATTTTTCTTGTTTACAATTTCTCATTATCTACTATCGATTTGCCCAAAATGCATAAATATGGACAAAAATGATCAATCAAGGGCAATAATTCCTTAAGGAGTCAAAAGATGGTTGGTCGTATTGGCATTTTTGTAGATATTGTGTGGCTGTCTATCTAGTACATTCATAGAGATAATTGGCCAAACATAAAAATTAAACAAATCGTCATCCATATTTGCTTCTTGTACTACTGATTATGTTTGCTATTTATAGTTTCTAACCATCTACTACAGTTTTTGAGATAATAAGCAAAAACATGAGAATAAGCAAAAAATAGGCATTTAAGGTCAGGGAACAGTTAATGGGATATGTCAAAGAGTTGGTAAAATTATGCATAAAACTTTGGCTTGTTGAACTATAACTGAAAAAAGAAATTATAATGCATTTATCTCTTTTATTTACTGAAATATGACTAATTGAATCCTTACAAAATATTTGAACATTTGTATAGAAAGTACATAAAATTGGCAAAAAACATTCTGAAATTTGTCTTAAAACAATGTAAAATCATCAAATCTCCATAGATTTTTCTTAAAAACTATATGATGTTGATACATAAATTTCTGTTTTAATAGTAAATGTATAACATAATCAAATGGTCACTGACTTTGTTTTTGGTGTATTAACCAATCTGTTACTTAGTTGGTAGTAAAAAATGTAAAAAAATCGACATTTTACATCATTCAATGCAATGACATTATGCTGATTTTGACATTTAGTGGTATTTTTTCACCTAGAACATCACTTTGAATGATGGATACCATTAAACGAAGTCGGTGACCCTATTATTCTTTTACATCATTAAAACTGAAATTTATGTACCAACAATATATATTTTTTTTAGCTAAAGTTCAAAAAGTCAAAGTTGTATGCAAATATTAACAAAATCTGTGATAAAGCCCATTTACTGTAACTTGACCTTAAGGGCAACACTCTTCAAAAAGTCATCTGATAATTTTGGTGAAAATAGAAAGCATGTAGATCTTGACACTCTGGACATTTTTGCCCTTGTCAGATGTTCTAATATAGTATTCAAGATATAAGATAATTAATAATTTTTCACCATTATGTTCTATTTTCAGCCACAGAGGCTATGTTTGTTGACAGACAGGAATAAATCAAAGCACCAAGGGCGCTATAGGCTGTTAATTAAACAAGAGTGCACACGCTGAAATGTCTCGCCTTCTTTACTAATCATTGATATTATGTTGATAGTCCTAAATATAAAGCTTTATTACAACTGTCACATAAACTTAACATTAACCAAGTAAACTAAACACTGACCAATGAACCATGAAAATGAGGTCAAGGTCAGATGAACCATGCTAGGCAGGCATGTACAGCTAACAATTCTTCCATACAACAAATAGAGTTGACCTATTGCTTATAGTTTAAGAAAAACAGACCAAAACACAAAAACTTAACACTGAGCAATGAACCTTGAAAATGAGGTCAAGGTCGAATAAAACCTGCATGACTGCCAAATAGATCATAAAATATTTCCATACACCAAATATAGTTGAACTATTGCATATAGTATAAGAAAAACAGACCAAAACACAAAAACTTAACTATAACCACTGAACCATGAAAATGAGGTCAAGGTCAGATGACACCTGCCAGTTGGACATGTACACCTTACAGTCCTTCCATACACCAAATATACTAGACCTATTGCTTATAGTATCTGAGATATGGACTTGACCACCAAAACTTAACCTTGTTCATTGATCCATGAAATGAGGTCGAGGTCAAGTGAAAACTGTCTGACGGGCATGAGGACCTTGCAAGGTACGCACATACCAAATATAGTTGAACTATTGCACATAGTATTAGAAAAAAAGACCAAAACTCAAAAACTTAACTTTGACCACTGAACCATGAAAATGAGGTCAAGGTCAGATGACACCTGCCCGCTAGACATGTACAACTTACAATCATTCCATACACCAAATATAGCAGACCTATGGCATACAGTATAAGAAAAACAGACCAAAACACAAAAACTTAACTATAACCACTGAACCATGAAAATGAGGTCAAGGTCAGATGACACCTGCCAGATGGACATGTACACCTTACAGTCCTTCCATACACCAAATATACTAGACCTATTGCTTATAGTATCTGAGATATGGACTTGACCACCAAAACTTAACCTTGTTCATTGATCCATGAAATGAGGTCGAGGTCAAGTGAAAACTGTCTGCCGGCATGAGGACCTTGCAAGGTACGCACATACCAAATATAGTTGAACTATTGCACATAGTATTAGAAAAAAAGACCAAAACTCAAAAACTTAACTTTGACCACTGAACCATGAAAATGAGGTCAAGGTCAGATGACACCTGCCCCCTAGACATGTACACCTTTCAATCATTCCATACACCAAATATAGCAGACCTATGGCATACAGTATAAGAAAAACAGACCAAAACACAACAACTTAACTATAACCACTGAACCATGAAAATGAGGTCAAGGTCAGATGACACCTGCCAGTTGGACATGTACACCTTACAGTCCTTCCATACACCGAATATACTAGACCTATTGCTTATAGTATCTGAGATATGGACTTGACCACCAAAACTTAACCTTGTTCACTGATCAATGAAATGAGGTCGAGGTCAAGTGAAAACTGTCTGACGGGCATGAGGACATTGCAAGGTACGCACATACCAAATATAGTTATCCTATTACTTATAATAAGAGAGAATCTAACATTACAAAAAATCTTAACTTTTTTTTCAAGTAGTCACTGAACCATGAAAATGAGGTCAAGGACATTGGACATGTGACTGACGGAAACTTCGTAACATGAGGCATCCATATACACCTTCTAAAATATAAAGCTTTTAAGAAGTTAGCTAACGCCGCCGCCGCTGCCGCCGCCGCCGGATCACTATCCCTATGTCGAGCTTTCTGCGACAAAAGTCGCAGGCTCGACAAAAACCCCAAGGCAAATGTGGCAGAAGCTTAAGTTAAGATTAATACTGTAGAAGAATTGGTTTTATTTTTTATCTCAGCTATTTCAAGTTAAAAAAATGTTTGTACCTTAATGTTTCCGCTATCCAATCCTACCATTTTCAAAGGTTATTTTTAAATTATCTTAAACATGTTTCCTTCAAGATGAGCCTTAAATGAAAATTTTTATAGGCCCAGACATAACTCAAAAAATAATTAAAGTAAATTCAATCTAGACTTATTTCTGGCATCAATTAAATCCTATAATAAACAAAAAAAATTGTAACAGGATACTGTTACGAAGTCTCCAAAACAAAGCTCCTATAATTCGTCGCCTAATTGGGCCGAGTCCAGTACAAATTGGTTTCGTCAAGTAAAGTGTTATGCATATGTGATGCCTAGGAGATTGACCCTGTATGTCATTCAAAAATTCTTGAGTTGACGAACAGGAATATTATATATATGGTTCAGGGGTGGGGATCTCAACCTTTTTCAAGTTCTCAAAAGGTGGGGGTTGATCCCCAGGGGACTCTCCCTTTATTTCATTTGATTTGTTTTTCATGTCCCATACAAGAATATACATGGTTTCCGGGTGGGGATCTCGACCATTTGCAAATTTTCAAAAAGAAGAGGGGTGGGGTGACCCCCATGGACTAATCCCCTATATTTTATCTTATTTATTGTCCCATACATGAATATATATGGTGTAGGGGTGGGGATCTCAATCGTTTACAAGTTCACAAACAGGAGGGGATGGCGTGACCCCCAGGGTCTCCCCTATATTTGATTTGATTTGTTTTATTGTTCCATACAAAAAATGTATGGTTTAGGGGTGTGGATTTCGACCGTTAACAAGTTCTCAAACAGGAGGGGATGGGGTTGACCCCTGTAAATTCCCCCTATATTTCATTTTATTTGATTTATTGTACCATACAAGACTATGTATGATTTAGGGGTGGGGATCTCAACCGTTAACAAGTTCTTAACAGAAGGGGTGGGGTTGACCCCCAGGGACTCCCCCTATATTTCATTTGATTTGTTATATTGTCCCATACATGAATATATATGGTTTAGGGGTGGGGATCTCGACCATTTACAAGTTCTCAAACAGAAGGGGTAGGAGTGACACTTGGGACTCCCCCAAATCATTTTCATTTGATTTGTTTTATTGTCCCATATAAATATATATATGGTTTAGGGGTGGGGATCGCGACTGTTTACAAGATAAAAACACATTTTCAAATTGAAGGGGGTGGTAAGACCCCCGGGGACTCACTCTATATTTTATTTGATTTGTTCTATTGTCCTGTTATCATTACTGAAGATCGCGTGTGTGTCTATCACTTACTGTTTTCAAGTAATAGTCATTTGAAAATCGAAAAAAATAAAATCCCATTATAGGGTTCTTTGGTAAACCCCTCCCTTATTTAAGCCCCTCAAAATACCCCTAAATAGACCCCAATGCACAAACGAAAGATTGATAACTCCGCTAGACATGTTAGTCTAACATTTTATGAAACCCTAAGTAAATCTGACAAGCGGTCCTAGTTGTCTTCTAAGACAGTCCAAGTGAACTTGGTCCGACTTGTGTAGGGGACGAGTTTTCCACATTTCTTAAAACATCCCATCAACGTCGATTGTCGGATCTTTTTGTTCATAAAAACAACTTCATAAAAACATCAACACCTGCCAAGGTCAGTGATAAACGGGATAATATACATGTAATAAAAGAAAGGAATTTAAATGTGCATACATTTAATTGAAATGAATAAAATAATCACAATCTTCTTAAACGAAAAGAACATCATTATTAACAAAACTTACTTTAAAACATCAGAATACTTGCCTTACATTGTAGTTTCGTGTAAGTTAAAATTACCGCCAACGTGGACTACTACATATAACTTTATTTCCTCTATCATAGAGATTTGGTGTACATGAACAATAAGGCATTTGGGAAATGTAAACGACTTGTAATTAGAGTTTTCGGCGATGAAATATTTCATACAATTGTTCTTTGACATCTTAGCCAAAAGCACATGGGATGATAAACTGCGTACGGATTTCTATTGAGCACTGCTTCCTATGTGCAACTTCAAAAGTTTTGTGTAGTTCGACGATCATTTAAGGTTTTTCTGGTCATACTTTTTGTATTCCAGAATTGAAAGTATGAAAAAAGTGCCCAATTAGTTATTAATAACATATTAGCCAGCTAGATAATAACAATAGCACTTTTTACACCATTTAGTGGGAAGAACACAAATCTAGGGTGGTAGCATAAGGCAGCTTAACTGCCTAAAAACAACATTAAACTAAATACCCAAAGGATCATTTACCCAAAGTGTGGTTGAAATTGGTTCAGTAGTTTCAGATGAGATTGCCTTTGAAAAGTTATGTTAGATGACAGATGCTTAGTGATAGCAAAAGCTCATAAGTCCTCTAAAGTTTTAGGACAGGGGATAAAATGAACCTTAGGCTATTGTCTTGTTTCATTCATTAAGGTTTTGTCTGAAGTGGGTAAGGACAGGGGAGAAAATGAACCTTAGGCTATTGTCTTGTTTCATTCATTAAAGTCTCACCCAACAGATTCTTTTCCTTTATTTGTAGCTGTGCTGTTAATCTGATTGGATAACACACCTGTCAAACTGGAGTACATATCTAAAGCTGTATCCTAAAAGGAAGACAAAATAAATCTAATCCACAGACACAGGAAAGATTTTCAATTAAGTCTTATTTAAAGAAAAAAAAAAAAAAAAAAAAACAAGTCTCACCTTTTCTAACGTATTCAGTTAAAGTGGTATGATAAAAAAAGAAGTTCCAACAAAAAAGAATTTGATGTTCACAAACTGTTATTTTTTTAAAAGGTAATGTTCTAGGTTGCAAAGGATCCATTTACCCACTGCCATAAAATTCCATATCTAAACTAGATATGACAATAATTAAACCTGATCTAGAGAGATGTTATGAATCTATTTATCAGTTGCCCCACTATCTGTATCATCTTGCTCAGTTCTTTGTTAAATCCCATATCGTAGCATTTTGACATTGCAGATTTTGTCTAGCTGATCACTTTTTGTTGTTCAAACTGCAACAATGCTATTTACGTTTTAAAATTGTATTGACTGTATATTCATTTGTGATATAGTCAGTGACATTATAATGCCTTGTTTGTGACATTGATTGTGTGTTTCCATAAAGTTTTATCTATTGGAACAAATTCAAAATTGATAGTTTTTACCCAAAGTATTTTATTTTGAACAGTTGTAAGAGTTGCAGCATAACATAACAACTAGATATCATTGAGATGGGAGCCATCTCTGTGGGCCCTGCTGTGAATAATGTGTGGTCAAAAATTTGTATCTTTATCATTGGACATGGGGTTGTCAACTGAAACCAAAGTTTATGACCTTGACCTTTGACCTAGGAAGTTATACATAAATTATGACACATCCTCTGGTGTTGGTTTATATACATGTCAAGTATAAACTTTGAAATCATAACGGTTCTCAAGATATAGAGCGGACACGATCGTTACCATAGGACATGGGGTTGTCAACTAAAACCAAAGTTTTTGACCTTGACCTTTGACCTAAGAAGTTGTACATACATTATAACACACCCTCTGGTGTTGGTGAATATACATGTCAAGTATAAACTTTGAAATCATAACGGTTCTCAAGATATAGAGCGGACACGATCGTTACCATAGGACATGGGGTTGTCAACTAAAACCAAAGTTTTTGACCTTGACCTTTGACCTAGGAAGTTGTACATACATTATGACACACCCTCTGGTGTTGGTTAATATACATGTCAAGTATAAACTTTGAAATCATAACGGTTCTCTATATATAGAGCGGACACAATTGTTAAGGATGGACGGACGGAGAGACTGATCACTATAGGGCATCCGCCATTCGTCAGGGCCCTAATTCTATATTGTCTAGCATTTATCTGTTTCTAAGCCTTGCACAATTATCTATTTTTATTTTGAGACAATGTATAGACATATTTTATATATAAAGTTTCTCTCTACCCATAATAGCTTACAAGATTATAGCCAACAACTAAAAATGGGTAAACATTGTCATTTAAGGGCAATAACTCATATAAGTAGGCATCTGATAATTTTTCTTACTTTAACTTATTTGTAGATCTGATTTTGCAAACATTTTTGCTTTTCAATATTCTCGCTTGTTATATTTTCCAGAAAAAGATGGGTAAAATTTTTCATTGAAGGGCAATTTCTCCAATAAGGAATTGACTAATGATTTTGGCAATGTTTCATGCCTAAACTAGATAAAATAATATTCATTTGTAGATCTTTTCTTGCTGATCAATTTTGTGATTTTCAAATACACCACAACAACTGTCAACTTTGAAATAAGATATTCATATAATAACAAGAGTTGTATGCTGAAATATCTTACCTGTTTTACTGATTATGATATAATGTGATGTTAATACTACAGCAATAATGGAGCAAGTTCGGTAAGGGCCATAAATGGCCCGATTATCAAGTTCAATGTTTCAGGATAAAAAAATGTTTAAAGCTGATGAAAAGACATGTGAGGATGTTAAATAGAACTATTCGTGTCAAATTTTTATTTTGGAGCGTTTTTACATCCCAAATAGGTCAAAAAAGAGATCTTTGCGAATTTTGACAAAATGTACTGATTTCAACCAAAATAAGGCGTAGGAAACATAGAGCTCAGGCGTCGACAAACTAAATATTTAAGTCATAAAAAAGATTATGTGAAAAGGATTTTCTTTGTCAGCGGCTGCGCTATGTTTCCTGTCCAAGGAATAAATGGAAATTTACAAGTTTTCATTGAAAATTCGTGGAAAATCAAAATGAGTGCTATTTGTGAAGTCATGAATAGAACGCAAGTACGTAAATTTTCGAAAAAAAGACATATTTTCTATCTATTCATTGTATTAGCTATGATTCATTGTTATATTGGTCAATTAATCCTAATTTTAAATTTAAGTTAGAAATAGGGGCGGCTATTTAAGGCCTTATCGAACCTACTCCTTTAACATTATCAACAATCCATGAAAATATGGTCAAGACTCACAAACTGTGACAAATGTCACAATATTTGTCAAAAATCTGAAATCTGGACTGGAAGTCTGAAGAGCCTATATAGGTATACCTGAGTATAATCTGTCAATTCATCAGATATTGATGTAGCTGAATTCAACACTCCTGCCACTAGATCTAGATCATCTAAACTTGTAACTGACACTTTCGTTAAACTGGAGACAATTACTTCTCTAATCTAAAACAAAATACCAGATTTTTACATATTCAAGGATATGTTTCTTAGTTTTTGCATTTTCTTTCACAATACTGAACAATAAACATGCAAGGATTATGCCAGTCTTTGGGCATAGCTGTAAACTGCTTATGGCTAATTCTACCTGCAAGGCTTGACTTTTGTTAAAGGTGGTAACATATTTTAAAAAGAGGGAAATAATAAGGAAATAAAAACAAAATTATGAATGATAAACTTACCATGGCCAAGATCAATATCATGTAGGGATGTGTAAAACTTTCACTGTGCTGTTTTGAAGAACAGCATACAACAATATGATTCAAAAAAATTCTTTAATTTTAAGTGTTCAAGTTTCTTCAATCTTCATAGGTGCAACCAATCAAAATGCATGTATATGATAGTTCCCAAGGGAATCTATCTTAATGCTACTTAGTATTCTTTTCTTTTTATATAAAAAAAAACAACCATTATGAGGTCTTATAATTGCCAATGTTATATCATGGGAGGGGAGATAAAGCAGAGGTTATAGTTTTGAGTATAATAACATTTTAACAGGTTCTACAAACCCTTCATCTTGAATGTGACGTTGACTGTTACGTAATTATAAAAATAAGAAGATGTGGTAAGTCCTCACATCAGTTAAATACTAAAATTTGGATAAAAAAACTAGTTTTACTACAGGTACTATCTTTTGATAATGAAAAAAACTTCTGTCCAAGTTTCTAAAACTCCATGAACATTTGACAAAGCTATACAAGTTCTGGAACATCTACATCAATTTGAGAGTAAACTATTGAAAAATGAAAAAAAATTAAAAGAATTTAAATTTTACTATAAATGGTGTCTCTTGATTATGAAGAAGCTTCTCTAAAAGTATCCTGAAATTCCATAACAGTTTGATAAATGTTATTGATGATTTAAAAACTTGTACCATATAGACTGTATATTGTTAACTTTAAAGAAATTCAGTCCATTTATATGTGACATATGGAAAAATAAAAATAATAAATAAAAATTTTTATCCACATGTTATCTCTAATCACAAAGAAATTCTGTCCATGTTTCATAGAATTCCATGAACTTTTGACAAGTTATTGATGTCTAAAAAAACTTAAATCACAGATTGAACTTAAATGTTGACGTCATCTTTAGAATCTTGGATTGCATTGTGGCCATTGCAACTTTTGTCACAGACAAGATAACAAGGTGTTATATATGTCTACATTTCAAGTATATAATGTTTTACCTGTTTACTTTCTTCACCATTTGATTTGTTGACATTATCATTCAATGATGAAGCAACACCTCCTAAGATGTTTACAGCACCTGTAAGTGAATAGTATGTTGCTTATCATGTTTTGAACTATTATCTTTCTGAGTTAATTACAACACCTAAAATTGTATGATTTATGGCTCGTTAGAATTAAAATAATCATTACATAGATGCCAGCCCCCTTTGTAGCAATCAGTAAAAAATATTAAGAATTCCGTAATTTGTGATTTTTTTCAGTAATAATAGGTCACTTAATTCGGGTTTCCACAGCTAGTTGAACTTCTTGTCCAGGAAGAATTACGAATTTGTCGGTATTTCAAAGGTAAATCATTTATGAAATCAGTCTGAAGGCTTAAGAATCCGGGTGAAAACAGGGCACTTTCTGAATTCCCGGGTTATCGGACAACCCCGGTAGGTATCAGGGTGACCCCTAAGAGTTGTGAAAATCTCGGGTCACACCCACAAGATACGGGTCAGTTGACAGGTATGAAAGACTCATAAAAATTGACAAAAGATATTTGTGATCTGGATCAATATTTGAGGTGATTGCATCTCACAAGTGCTTTATTACTTTTTGCCATGAATTTTAAAACCTATGCTAGAAATTTGTTTTAACTAACATACTTAAATAATCTCCATTGTCCATCAGGTTATTATTTTTTTTTAAATAAACATACCTGTATAGTCTCCATTGTCCATCAAGTTATTAATAAAACTGTCATTAGAATTCACATCAATACCAATCAGATCTGTAATTACATCTGTTACATCACCACTCAAGTACATACTCATTGGAAATACCTACAAACAAAGCCAATCAGATCTGTAATTACATCTGTTACATCACCACTGGAGTACATACTCATTGGAAACACCTACAAACAAAGCCAATCAGATCTGTAATTACATCTGTTACATCACCACTCAAGTACATACTCATTGGAAACACCTACAAACAAAGCCAATCAGATCTGTAATTACATCTGTTACATTACCACTGGAGTACATACTCATTGGAAATACCTACAAACAAAGCCAATCAGATCTGTAATTACATCTGTTACATCACCATTGGAGTTTATACTCATTGGAAACACCTACAAAGAAAGCTAATCAGATCTGTACCTACATCTGTTACATCACCACTGGAGTACATACTCATTGGAAACACCTACAAACAAAGCCAATCAGATCTGGTATAACATCTGTTACATCACCACTGGAGAACTCATTTGGTGGAAACACCTACAAAGAAAAAGTCAATCAGATCTGTAATTACATCTGTTACATCACCACTGGAGTACATACTCATTGGAAACACCTACAAAGAAAGTCAATCAGATCTGTAATTACATCTGTTACATCACCACTGGAGTACTCATTTGGTGGAAACACCTACAAACAAAGCCAATCAGATCTGTTATTACATCTGTTACATTACCACTGGAGTACATATTCATTGGAAATACCTACAAACAAAGCCAATCAGATCTGTAATTACATCTGTTACATCACCACTCAAGTACATACTCATTGGAAACACCTACAAACAAAGCCAATCAGATCTGTAATTACATCTGTTACATCACCACTCAAGTACATACTCATTGGAAACACCTACAAACAAAGCCAATCAGATCTGTAATTACATCTGTTACATCACCACTGGAATACATAATCATTGGAAACACCTACAAACAAAGCCAATCAGATATGGTATTACATCTGTTACATCACCACTTGAGTACATGATCATTGGAAACACCTACAAACAAAGCCAATCAGATCTGGTATTACATCTGTAACATCACCACTGGAGTACATACTCATTGGAAACACCTACAAACAAAGCTAATCAGATCTGTAATTACATCTGTTACATCACCACTGGAGTACATACTCATTGGAAATACCTACAAACAAAGCCAATCAGATCTGTAATTACATCTGTTACATCACCACTGGAGTACTCATTTGGTGGAAACACCTACAAAGCAAAAGTCAATCAGATCTCCTATTACATCTAATAAATCTCCACTCGAGTACATACTCATTGGAAACACCTACAAAGAAAGTCAATCAGATCTGTAATTACATCTGTTACATCACCACTGGAGTACTTTTTTGGTGGAAACACCTACAAAGAAAAAGTCAATCAGATCTGTAATTACATCTGTTACATCACCACTGGAGTACATACTCATTGGAAACACCTACAAAGAAAGTCAATCAGATTTGTAATTACATCTGTTGAAACATCACCACTGGAGTACATACTCATTGGAAATACCTACGAAGAAAGTCAATCAGATCTGTAATTACATCAGTTACATCACCACTGGAGTACATACTCATTGGAAACATCTACAAAGAAAGTCAATCAGATCTGTAATTACATCTGTTACATCACCACTGGAGTACTCATTTGGTGGAAACACCTACAAAGAAAAAGTCAATCAGATCTGTAATTACATCTGTTACATCACCACTGGAGTACTCATTTGGTGGAAACACCTACAAAGAAAGTCAATCATATCTGTAATTACATCTGTTACATCACCACTGGAGTACTCATTTGGTGGAAACACCTACAAAGAAAAAGTCAATCAGATCTGTAATTACATCTGTTACATCACCACTGGAGTACATACTCATTGGAAACACCTATGAAGAAAGTCAATCAGATCTGTAATTACATCAGTTACATCACCACTGAGTACATACTCATTGGAAACACCTACAAACAAAGCCAATCAGATCTGTAATTACATCTGTTACATCACCACTGGAGTACATACTCATTGGAAACACCTACAAACAAAGCCAATCAGATCTGTAATTACATCTGTTACATCACCACTCAAGTACATACTCATTGGAAACACTTACAAACAAAGCCAATCAGATCTGGTATTTCATCTGTTATATCACCACTCGAGTACATTCTCATTAGAAACACCTATAAAAAAAGCCAATCAGATCTGTTATTTCATCTGTTACATTACCACTGGAGTACATACTCATTGGAAATACCTACAAACAAAGCCAATCAGATCTGTAATTACATCTGTTACATCACCACTGGAGTACATACTCATTGGAAACACCTAAAAACAAAGTCAATCAAATTTGTAACTACATCTGTTGAAACATCACCACTGGAGTACATACTCATTGGAAACACCTACAAACAAAGCTAATCAGATCTGTAATTACATCTGTTACATCACCACTGCAGTACATACTCATTGGAAACACCTACAAAGAAAGTCAATCAGATCTGTAATTACATCTGTTACATCACCACTGGAGTACTCATTTGGTGAAAACACCTACAAAGAAAAAGTCAATCAGATCTGTAATTACATCTGTTACATCACCACTGGAGTACATACTCATTGGAAATACCTACAAAGAAAGTCAATCAGAATTGTGATTACATCTCTTGAAACATCACCACTGGAGTACATACTCATTGGAAATACCTACGAAGAAAGTCAATCAGATCTGTAATTACATCAGTTACATCACCACTGGAGTACATACTCATTGGAAACACCTACAAAGAAAGTCAATCAGATCTGTAATAACATCTGTTACATCACCACTGGAGTACTCATTTGCTGGAACACCTACAAAGAAAAAGTCAATCAGATCTGTAATTACATCTGTTACATCACTACTGGAGTACTCATTTGGTGGAAACACCAACAAACAAAGCCAATCAGATCT